TCAAGGTTGAGAAACACTGGCCTAAAGATTAAGCTTCACTGATTTTAGAAGGGAATTTTCCATTAGTCTCTTCTCCACATGCAGGACTATATGGTTAAACACCTTCTGTGTTTCAGGATTGACATTTCTGGACTTTGGGCAGGAAGAGCCAATCACCTTCCTTTCTAGGAAATAGAAAGCTTCCAAGAACTGAGCTGAAGGGGGGGGGGGAATCTGAGCTGATGGACCAAAAATTCCCTAACTTGTCAAACTAGGGAGGTATCAGGAAGTTCAGTCTGACCAATGATACCTACTGTCTAATTGGGGAAGCCTTGGGGAAAAAGGACTGCCAGGGAGGTTTCAAAGTATTTCTCCTCTTGGTTTCTAACAGGTTCAAGATTCTTTAGCACCAATTGCATATCGTGTGTACCTAGCCCAGGTTTTGGGTTCCTTCCTCCTACATATGCAGGTGTGTAGGCACACATGCATACAAAGCTGAGCCTGCATGCTTGATAACTACCCACTCCCAGTTAGGCTGAATTATGCTGAGCTTTGAGAACTATCTGGAAAAAAGAGGTGATATCATGGTGGGAAGCAATTTCATAAGAGACAGCATGGAGAAGTGAGCAAGCAAAACATCTTTAAGTGGCAGAAAATATTTGAATTGGACGAAAAGGGACTAAAAAAAGGCCACGATGGGTTCTAAAAGTTGGGATGAGATGCTATGGGAGCAGACCAAAAGACAGCAAAGAGATGTAGGATTTCAAAACTGGAAATGACCTCTAAGAACTAGTCCAACCAGATCAGGAATGGCTGCAGCTGGTGCACTAATCGCCTTTTGGATATAATGGCTTAATTACATTCTTTCTCCAGAGTTTCAGCAGTTATAAAAGCTCTGAGATTCTAGCCACAAGTCTCTGTTGGTGTCCTGTGATACACATTTGTTACTACATGCTGATGTAGCCTCTACCACTTTCTCTTCCTCAAAGTTTTTTTTTTTTTCTCCCAATGGTGAGGATCAAGTCCAAGACAGCCAAGCCTCATTTTTCGTTTTCCACCTTCTGGTCTGTTTTTTTTTTTTTTTAACCGAGAGGTAAAATCATGTTGGCATAACCTCCAATGCTGGACGACTGGGCCATTGTATTTTCGTAGGAACTTGTGTACTTTCCCAGGGAACCACTGCCAGCTGGCAACCTTGCTGATGACATGATAGAAGAGAGGAGACAAAGGGCAACAGCTGCAGCAAAACCAACATCAGTATCCATTCGGTCCGGCTGTTGTAGTATCCATTCTGACTGAGAAACAACTCATCATCATCAAGCAGTGGAGGTAGTTCCTTGTAACCAGAAAATTAAAGGAACAGGATATGAGTTCTGCATAAAATAATAAAACAAAACAAAACAAAACTGGCATTTCCAACCGAGAAGCAGCAGATAAGAAAAGAATGCTTAATCTTCCCCTTCTACACCCCATTTTTAATTCCCCCTGACCTTGGGGGAAAGAAAGAAAGTAGTCTCAAGAGGTAACTGTTGTTGGGTATGCAAAAGACTGAACATCCTTTTTTCACAAGAAACTCCTTCATTAGCTTTTGTGCCTTCTCAGACTGGGAAATTACAGAGTTGAACAAAACATGAAGTTACGCCTTTAGTAATATGTACCTCTTAACTTCACTTCCTAATTTGTGTTGTTTTCCAGTTCAACAACCTAGCACTAAATAACATATCAGCTAGAATCATGTGAAGATTCTGTTCCAATCCAAAAGCAACTTCATATCTTTGAAATCTCATCATGTCAAGAGCTTAAAGGGACATAGCTGAAATATAGGAAAACTAGTATATACTATATTAGTTCCCCAGCCAATATGACCATTCTGATGTCATGCTGGTTGGGGAATTTTGTGAGCTGAAGTCAACGCATTTCAAAATTCCCAAAGTTGAGAAATATCGATTAGAGAGCTATGTCTCTCCTCCTTAGCAATGAGAAGCTACCCTGTGTGTTTTCAACAGGCTCTGCAGATGATTGGTTTATAACATTTAGGCTTATATACTCCCCCATAGCTCTTTACAGCGCTCTTTGGGCGGTTTACAATGTAGAAGCATTATTTGCCTACTGCCGACAATCTGGGTCCTCATTTTACTGATCTCAGAAAGATGGAAGACTGAGTTAACGTTGAACCCCATCAGGATCAAACTCCAAAATGTGGGCCATTTGCCTGCAATACTGCACTTTAACCAGTGTGCCACCAGGGTTCTCCTTATGATCATGATTATATCATTAGGATTCCAGTAACTTCTGGAAGAATTACTTCCTCTCGTTGGGTGGAGCTTTTTGCACTGAGCAATTCTTTATATAAGTGCTTGGGTCTGTTTGGGCACCCAAAGATGGATCCTGTCAGGACTTGCATTTCTCTTTCTATATTTGGACAAGTATTTTATTATAGGGAAGCTCAAATGGAAGAATATTTAGAAATTTGGAATCCATGTAGTCATTTGCGTGTTCACTTACTCGTTTTCAAATGTGAATAATTTAATTGTATAGCATGACATGAATATATTTATGATACTGGGTTTGAGTGAGAAATGTTTTCACAGGACTTTTCCTATCATAATCATAATCAGATTTAATCTGATGTCACTATGTGCAAACTTACATGAAAACTGATGTACCCAATCTTGTTCTTTTAACACTTCCCTCTTGATTACTCTGCCTGCTTCTTTGTCAGCTTTGCCACTATAACAAAATTAATTGCACTTCTGATACAGATCTTTGGTTATGAACTTTGATTAGAGGTAGTGCCGGTCTTAAAATTCAAGCGAGGTGTTTTAAGTCTTGGCGGACTTTGATAAAGTATGTATGACCTACTAGCTATGTGAATAGTTCAGCTGATGATGCTGAAGTAAGCATCTATCTTATTATTTTGCTTACTGCTACAAATAAGCTTTGTTGTGCATTTTCACAAAAAACCCTAGCAATGCAGATCATGATGTCTAATGTCACTTGTTTCTTTAGTTGGGAAAATGCAAATTTAAGAAAGTCTGCTGGAATGTTTGGATCTGAGTTTTGAATTAACAGAACTGCTGAATTCAATTAACTCTAGTTTCAACTTCTAGATTTCTAAACTTCCTGAAAAGTTCCTCAGGACTACTGCAAATTCACGGAGTTTCCTAATCTTGGTCCTCCAGCTCTTTACCATCTGAGTGGGTGAACAATAAAAGACAATGAGCAGTTAGCTCTAAGCTACTGTATCTTGCTTTTCTTCATTACTGTAACACCGACTAGATCCAGAAAGGGGAAAAAAATGAGTAGTGACAATGGTGTCAAGATAAAGATGAAGGTCCAGAGGAAAAGGAAACCATTTTGGCCAGGGACCCCACCCATCCCAAACCTTGCAACTGGCAGTACATCTGATTTTCTAAACATGTCTTTCTAAATTGAATGATGCAAATTTCATAGTATCCATTGTTCTGTGATTACTATTGATTGTAAAGTCACTTCGGAAAGAACATAACACACGTTCCCTTAGTGGACTTGCATTGGTGCATTCCTTAGTAGTGAGATTGGCTCTATTCTGATGTCACAAATTCAGTTGTTTAGTTGAAGCATTTTTAGAGCTGTTCCTGGTAGGTAATATCGAATAAGCTCATGTCTGTTTGGAGTTCATTGCAGGTCAAAGTTTAGTCATTATTTCTAGGTTTATGCAACCAGCTAAGCTGTCCAGATAGTCCTTGCTTGATGTCCACACATTCTGTGACCATTTGAAGTTACAATGATGCTGAATGAAGAGGACTTATAGCAGGTTGTAAGTTGTGGCCATCACATTGTCCTTGCAAACATGTGGTTACAATTTGGGTACTCGGCAACTGCCTGCAATTATGACTTTATACCATTCTATGGACATCTTGCCCCTTCTATTTTTTTTTTTTATTTTTTAATTTGTATTAGTTCTTATATTTTTTTAATTGTAGTGTTTAATAAATTTATTATAACAATATTTACATTAAAACCTCCTATCCATCCTAACATGCACTTGGTGAGATCCATAATTAATTATTTTGTGCTTTCTAGTTTCAGCCTGCCTATAAAGTGAAAGCAACCTAATCCTGGCCATAAAACATGGATGCAGATTATGAGGCAGTTAATTCCACAGTTTCACTGTTGAACTTGTTTGGAATAGTTGATGTTACACTTCATCAGTTAAGAGGAGAAAAAGATATGCTGCTACATGCCACTTAAATTTCTAATGTTGGCCATATCAATGCAACGAGTATCAATGCAACTCTGACTGGGAGCCACCACAGTTGGCTGAAAAATGGGAAACTAAATATTTCAAATAAATAAATAAATACAGTAAGATTAAAACCACAGGAAATAATTTGCCTGTTAACTCATCCCAATCACTCTGGATTTTGTGACTGAATAATGTTCAAATGCAATATATTGCATCCCAATGTCAACTGAATTTTTTTGCTTTCCTTTTCAGGCCGAAGTTTCCAGAAAAGTTTGTATCTGGCAGAATTTGACTAGGTTGAGAAAAAAAAAAGATGGTAGGATAGCTAATTGTGTTATTTCAAGTAAAGGAAGCTATTTATCCATCATAGATGTTCTGATGAGAGCTTCAGTAGTTTAGCTTATTTTTAGGCCTCGGATCTAGCTCAAATCTCTGAATTATGCAAAGCTTATGAGTACAGCTAACTGTTTATCAAGTGCTGACTGATCATTGTACGATTATCATTAAGTGGTAAACCTGAAGTAAACTGAACAATTTCTTTGCATCTTTTCTGTAGCAGATGTGAGGCAGATACCTATGACTGAATTGACTTTCTCGGGAAAGGAATCTAAAAAAACAAAGTCAATAATGATGAACCAATATATAATACTAAACCTTTCTGGCAAACTGGAAATAGATATATCATTGAATCCAGATGAGATCCATCCAGCAGATTATTTTAAAAAAATCTGTAAGTGAAACTATTGATCTTCCAACCAGGATAGCTAATCTCCCCCCCCCCCCACAGTCTAGCCTCTGTACCAAAGATTGGCCAATCTAATCCTATAATTTAACAAAAAAAGTTTCAAGAATATATTAATGTAACCTTTTTTTCCTAAGCAAATTAATAGATAAATATCCAAGCAGTGTGACATTACTAATATTTTAGAATCTAAGAGATGATAAAGAATACTCAACAGATTTCTCCAACAGAAAAACAGGGTAGATATAATTGCAACTGTATTTCAATATAAGAAGTTTAGATTGTTGCAGTTTGAGACAAAAATAAATAAAATCCTAAATGCACATATCTCAGATATGTTAACTGAAAAGGAAATTACTCACACAGTGCATTAAAGTTATGATTGTTTTAGCCATGAATTGTTAAGTGAGTCATACTGGCTGGTTTCACTATAAAACATAATTTACAAACCACAATGATTATGTTAACACATTACACTAAACCTTAACCAAGCAAACAGGCACTAATTAAAAAATTAGTGGCAATATTATGCATAACAACAGAAATGTGTTTATGTAGTTTAATAAAACCTTTTCCTTCCTCCATCTATTTGGCTAAAGAATTCACTATGGCACAGGGAAGGAAGGAAGGAATTTTTTGTTTTTTGTTTATTTAATCCTTGTTATCTTTCATTTATGCTTACTATATAGACAATATATAAAAACAAGACATGAATGACAGAATTCAATGACATGGTTATGAATAATGCTTCATTTCTTGCACAGGAGAATATTTTGCCTTCTCCGGAAGGAGATAACATTAATCATTAACTCCCTGACAAAATATTTGACTGGTTAGAAGGTACATATGTAATTTGATTCTGTTCTCATACTACATGTCATCATCTCAAACTCTCCAAGCATGCCAAAGGTTTTGAAGTTAGTACTGACTTAGGTCGTTTCTTCAAAATCAGCTGGGAAGGAGAACTTTTATATTTCACCTCCAAAACCCTAGGTAGTCTCCCCTTTGTGCAAGACAAAAGAGATTTAGGATTTTCAGGCAACAGAAGGGGAGAAAAAAGCTCTTTCACCATGACTGCCAAAGTCAAATGATATTCCAGTTTTAAGCTGGAAAAAGATCCATTAGATCTTCGCCGTTAGAAATGTGATGTCCCAAATTATCAGCCTTCTCAGCCAACTAAATGTGATACAGGATTTCTGTGCTGTTACTAGGTGCAGAGAAAATTGCATATTGCTAAGTGATGATTGACTCCTACTGATTTTATTCTAAAAAATAAGTGTGCCATAATTAGGAGATATTATACGCAGAAGAAAATGGTTTAATATGCAAATCTGGCAACCCCTAAGGGATGGCAGAGCTCCACCCCTACCTAGTGAGTGCTCTTTAGAAGCAGGGGATAAAGTTGGCAAGCATTAAAAATATTCCAACTTCAAATAAATAAGTATCTGATATTGTCAAGATTGACCTGTTCTTCTAAAACACAAACATTGCCTGAAAACCTCCAATAGGCACCACACCCTGAAACACTCCCCAAGTTGGAGTTTAGTCAAGATTATGCAACAACTGAGAGCATAATTGTCTTTGATAGTATTCATTTGTTGCTAATGTTACAGGAGATTTTAGTGAATGTGCAACACCTTCGTTTAATGATACACAGCTTGCTTTCTGGTATGCACTATAGGAAGGGCTGAGTGAGTAATCCTTTGAACTGAGAAATGTAACATTCCTTTTTAGCTACAGATAGAGAGAAATGGGTCATGGTTTATTAATTCAACATATCTGATTCACCTACAATAGACTTCCATTTGAGTAATTCTTGGTATAATGACAATTATAAATTACCTCTTTGCTTCAAACTGGTTAGCTACACTGTATAAGTTGGTATATATAGGTCACAACTATTTCCTGCACATGATTGCAACCTAATTCAGATATGCTAAACTAGGTTTTGCGTAACTTTAGTTTTGCTAAGCTACAAATGAAGGATTCATACATTTCACTGAGCCATAAATCATGGCTTGCAGTCTACCATGATTAGTTTCACATTATGCCAAAGCCAAACTACGCTACAACTCGGTATGATTTGTGAATCCAGTCTTTTTAGTTTTCCAAAGCACAGATACATCTTTTTCCTGGTCTTGCTATAAAAGCCTTCTAATCAGTAGAAAGGATGAACCTTGGACCTTACGCTCCGTCAAGTAGACAAAGTCTAAATCACATGCTCTGCTGCTGAGCTGTAGGTCTCAAATAGCCTTGCTTAACAGGCACGTCTAGTTTTGTGCACTGCCAAAATATGCAGAACTGAACCAAGGGCTTTGGTGTGCAGCAGCTGATTTGACTGACACTCATCTGGGAACCAGTTCTTCTGGAACACCAGACTGCAGAGGTTCCTAGAACAAGATTCAATTTGTGAGTGAGAATCTCCACACAGCTTAAAAAAAAAAAGGCTGTGATTTATCAGATACAGATGCAGGCATTTCCCATCCGAACATATCTCAGTCCCCGTCCTGTTTTCAAGATTCTCCATCTCCAGTTTTCCAATTTTTTGTGAAAGTGCTTTTTGTACCACTTGGACTCCATGCCTTATTCTCTGCCCTTTGTCTACATACTGCTCTTATTTGGCTACAATCTTAAAACAACCCAGAGCATTATAAGTTTGTATTAAAGCAACAACTATCTGACATATTAACGTGTACAAAGAAACAGAAGTAAAGTGTGTAGTGTTTCCTGATAAGAATGTTGCCCATGATTATTTGCATTGTATTCATATATTTAAATGTACTGTATATTTCTAACGGTAAATACTGAACTGTCTTCCACCTTTGATATCAGCAAATCGGAAAATTGCCTAATGCTTCAGCCCACATTTCCAATCATCCATAACTTCCAATACTTGAATGATAAAGTGGCTGATTTGTTCTACCTGGTAATAAATTGTGTAAAATGAGCTTATGTTAAAAATGCTATTGCGGGTAAAATGGTCTAGGCATGCTTTGCAATTTGAATTATATTGGCAGAATCCAGGCCATTACTAAGTTACAGGCTGTTGAAGGGTTGAATATTATATTGCATTAATATTTAGTTGAAGAACTAAGGACTTTTAGAATAAAGTCAAGCAAGCCTCAAGAGTTTGCAGGTTAAAATACTCATTCAGATTTGTTTTCACCCCTGAAATTCCTTTAGCAAGATTCTACTAGTATTGCCACATTATCTCACAGCTAGTTTTCTTTTATTGTTACTCGACTGCAGCAGAAAAGCAAAACTCCCTCCCCCCAAAAAACAACAACAAAAAAGGACACATTTTCTTTCATGTTTTCTGTAATTTGTACTGATGTCAGTGATGCTTCACTGAATCCTGCATGAGATATACAATGAAACACAGATCACAGTATTCGGCTTGAATGGCACCAGGCAGGATGCCAGCACCGCATTCATCTCCACAGAAATTACCTCAAATGTTAATGCATGAGAATGTGCAGTTAATTTTCACAGCATCCCCTTCTGTTAATGGAGAAAAAGTACTTCTCCAAGTGACTGCACTGAACGAGGCCTTTAGGAAACTTCCCTTTAGAGAAGCCTTCAGGAGACGCCATTGAATATGGTCCTCTTGAGAGATCCATGGGGACCCAGGAAGCGTGTCTTCTCGGGCATGGCTCCTAGTGTCTGGGAATAAACTTCCGTGCAGCTCCTGTCGACATTCTGGAAGGCTTGAAGACCTGGCTGGTACCAAGCCTTGGGCTGAGATGGAGGGCTGGTTTTTTTTTTAATTATTGTTAATTATTGTTAAAATAATTATTGTGAGCAGTCCAGAGTGGGTTTAAAGTTGGGTGGTGCCTAAACTGAACTGAACTGAATATATACCCACCCCACACTCTGGTAATGGTATTGAATTCCATCGGGAAACCCCAACCAATTCCTTTTCCTGTTTAATAGGCTGTGATTTTGAGTTATCTTCTCTGAGATCAAAATTTATCTCATACTTAAAACAGAATAGCTATGTATTCTTCTGGCCTCTGATTTCTTTTTTTTTTAATTCAAAAAAAGGGACCCAGAAATACTTCAAATCAAGCGACCAGTCAAGCACCTCTGTAATGTCTTCAAGAAAACTCCTGTTCTCTCAGCGCTGGAACAAAACACAGTATCACTTATTTCATTATAGCCTTTTGACAAGAGTTGCTGCAAAATCACAAACTGCGTACTAGGGAGTACTATACAGAAGGTAATTCAGAAGTAGCTGTGCATGTTTTTGCACAGATTGCTTACCTGAAATTCTGTAAATATTCTTGAAGTTTGTTTAGATTACAGTGTTTCTCAACCTTGGCAACTTTACGAAGTGTGGACTTCAACTCCCAGAATTCTCCAGCTAGCGTTGCTGGAGGATTTTGGGAGTTGAAGTCCACACATCGTAAAGTTGCCAAGTTGAGAAACACTGGTTTAGAAGGAACAGTACATATTTACATGGGATGGAAACTGGACTTAGAAAATTGTTATGGATATATTATCAGTCTTTATTTAAATATAATAAACATTCTATTTAACAGGGTAATAGAGGAGAAACATCTATATACTATGAAAATTATTGTGCCTGTTTGTATCTTTCAACTGTGTGAAACACTGCATCATGGGGCAACAATATTTGAACCAAGGTACCTCAAATGGGCTAACTTACAGAAAATGCATCCAAAATCTGGGACCAGGATCACTCCTGTGGAATTGAAATTTGGCAAAGTTACGGCTGCCTCAGTGCTACCGTGCCTTCCGACTACACTTCCCAGAAACCTGTAGATTGTGTTGGTACAAGGGAAGATGTAGGGGTGTATTCCAATCTGATGGTGGCAATGCTGACAGGCAACCAACACCTGGTTGCTTTCGAATCAAGCTGAAATTTGAATTCTCTTAACAGCCGTGAGCAGCAAAGGAAAGACAAGGGATTGACTTGGTGTGCCTGCTGGTGAGGTAGGCCTGGCTGGGGGACACTGGTGATTGAAGGGTAAATGCTCTTCCTCCCTAGGAGGGGGATCTTGAGGACACATCAGGATGGGGAGTGGGGGTGCAGTTTTCTTCACAATCCTTGGCTCACTTTCTTCCCCCCTCCCTCCCAGCAAAGTGGCAGGGAGTTCCATCGGACAGTCAAGGCGGAGGAAGAGCTATTTTCCACACAAGCAACATCAACAGAGAAGTCAGCAGGAAGTCAGAGGTCAGTCCTGTTCACATTGCATTGTTTGGCTGCCCGTGAACACTCCGTTTCTCTGCTTGGGTAAGAGAATATCTTAGTCATCGGTTGTCTAATTATCCATTGAATGAATGAATGTCCATTAAATGGTAAATGGGACTTTGTGAGGTAAAAACACACTTGTACATGAAAAAAATAATGTACCTTTATTTGATAACAGTGAAAAACACTTTTGAGGGAAGCAGCAAACACTGCTAGGGAAAAAAAATGTTATTGACTGAAATGTGGGCAAAATTCATGAAACAGCAGACTCAATCCATTAAATGCAAAGCCTGCTAAATCAGTGGTTCTCAACCTTTTTAATGCTGCGACCCCCACCGGTCGTAAGTCGAGGACTACCCAACCGGTCGTAAGTCGAGGACTTTCCCTGCCCGGGAGCGCCGTGCATGCGTGGTGCCGCCCCCTGCGCCGGCCGAGGCGTAGCTGGCAAGCGGCAGAGACGGCACAGGCCGACCACCGGTTGGGCCACCAGCTCGCCCACCCCAAGGGAGGTAAGGCACCCGCCGGGCGTCATGCACGCCAGGAACCCTCCCTGCACCCACTGGCCTCCCACCTCCCACCCCTGACCCTCTTTTACTTACATTTTTAGTAGTTGCTCAGCAGGGAGGGGTGGAAGCTTCCAGACAGCTCGCCTTCGCTGCAGACAACTTGCAGCACCATTTGTAGAATGGGACTTTTGGCTGGCTGAGCAGGGCAGAGACAGCCTGGACAATTCCTATTGGCTTTTGAAAGCCAATAGAATTAGACTCTAGTCAAGAGAGTCTATTCTATTGGCTTTCAAAAGCCAATAGAATAAAAGGGAGTAGCACAGCTAAGGAAAAGGGGAAAAAAATGGCAGACTGCGTTGTTTGGCGACCCCCGTGAAATGGTCGTTCGACCCCAAATGGGGTCCCGACCCACAGGTTAAGAACCACTGTGCTAAACTGAGTCGATTAAATCATGCCCTTTGATTTAAAATCAGAAACCTTATGTACTACTACCTTGACTAATTATTTTTACTCCTTTCTGTTTTAGAAGTTTCAGTTCAGATTACTTTTTTCTAAATTAATCATCACAAATTGCTAGTACTATTGCTAATATTACTATTATTAAACCAGTAACAATGCTATCCAGTAACAAAATTCTTTGGGTTTCCCCCCCCCCCCAAAACTATGTCTATGGAACATGGAGAGGGGGAATATTTAATTCCCATCTCTCTCTGAATAGCCAAATATTCTCCAAAGTGACAGAAAAGGTTCCAGAGCATATTTAGGAAACACAGGCAAACAGGCAGGAGAAATTCCTACTGTGCAAATAAACCTTCATTCACTTCATCCTAAATAATATTTTTTTAAAAAAACTTTAAATTTTATGCAGTGAAAGATACAATAATCAGGGTCTATCAAACTGACACTTTTTGTAAATGTTGCATAGAAATACTTTTAAGAATAGCATATCTATCAAATCTGATAATGTAACAGATGTTATCAAAATCATTCCTGCCAATAAGTCTAATGTTATCTTCCAAAATTCCAGCTAAACTTAGACACCTGAGAGCTTCATGAAGAGGACAACATAAATATAAAGTCTTGGAGGTTAAATGTCTCATCTTTCTGTGAAAAGAATTGTTCCGCAGGCATAAGGAGGGAAGATCCTTTCTAGCTCAGGCCATAGCCCAACTAGTCCAGTGATCAACTGGGTGCAATTGGGAAGTTCACAAATCTGGACTGGATTTTAATTTTTCCTTCCATCAACCAATTATTACAGTCTGCTATTTTTCAGGTATGGTAAACAACAATGAGTATTAATAGCCATTGATGGCTTGGTCACCTATTCCACAAAAGCTGTGAATGCTCCAACACTGGAAGTTTTTAAGAAGAGACTGGACAGCCATTTGTCTCTGTGATGGTGAACTTTTTAGAGACTGAGTGCCCAAACTGCAACCCCAAACTCACTTATGCATCGTCGAGTGTCAGGTGGGTGTGGCCAATTGGTTGGGCATGACCCACTGGGTGGGCGTGGCTGCGGTGGTAATGGCAGACTGGGTGGAACTAAAAAGTTCAATCAATTCCAACTTTGCAAGATCTTTTTTTTTCCCATGAGAAGTTGAAATTGACTGATTGAACCTTTTTTTTTGCACATGACGGCGGAGGCCTAAAGCGAAAAGGTTTTATAAAACCCAGCTGAAGGCCTAGGACTGGGGCGACAGCTTGCGTGCCCACAGAGAGGGCTCTGAGTGCCGCCTCTGGCACTCGTGCCATAGGTTCACCACCACTGGTATAGGGTTTCCTGCCTGAATAGGGAGCTGGACTAGAAAACCTCCAAGGTCCCTTCCAACATCATCATCATTATATACTCTTTTAAAATCATCTAAAGGATACCTCAAGCTCCAACACTGTCAAAGGAGGAGGAAAATTGTCTGTGTTATTTATGCCATACGTGATCTTATATAGCTTCTTTTACTCATCTTCATTCCAAGCGAATGAAGCCCAATTGCTGTAGGCTTTCCTTATAGATTTACACCAGCTCTGAACATTGTGGTTGTCCTGTCTTCTAAATCTATATTTTTAAGGGGTGACCAAAATGATACATATCTCTTCACAGACACATTTATCACTGTGATGTTCGTTTTCTTTCTAAAGATTTACGTGTGAATTTACATGTCTTTTTTCTTCTAGCACCAGTTGACAGTTTCTTCAAAGGGTCGACCATGATTCCAGATTTCCTTTCCCTTCCTACTGCAGGGTTAAAATCCAGTAACATACAGATGAAGTAATTTTGTGTCAGCATAAATATTTTATGCTTGTCTGCACTGAATGATATTTGCCATTTTGAAATTGTTCATTTCATCCGAACAGCTTCTTTTGCAGGACCTCACAATCTTTCTTTTCAATTATTTATTCTAAACTCAGTATCACCAACAAATAAAATTACTTTTCATAGTTTACACCAGCTACAAAGTTATAAAGCACTGATCCTTGGTAGACTCTCACTAGTGCCAAAGTGAGAAATGCCCACTGATTCCTCTTAAAGGATGATACTGTATATATTTTTTTGCCTTTAATAGCATCTCTGATCTTGTGCATTTGCTACTTTGGCACTCCGTTGGATAGAGAAAGCTTCATTCTCATGACTACTATGGCATCATCATCATCATGAACTGGGTAATGCTATTATCACCCCAAAAGTCACTCCCAGCTTCTCTAATTCAACTGCGTTGGCCCTACAGGAACAAATTAGCTTGATGACACCCAAGCACTCATTGCACTAATCACACACACACACACACACACATACACACTTTCTGCCAAGAAGTGAAACCATGACACAAATGACATTCTGTACAAAAAAACTAAATATCACCGCACCCTTTCTGTTTGATCTTTGATATATTAATTTTCAGATATTCTTCACTGTGCTATGTCATCTAAAGTTTACTGCACGTTCTTTGAAGTCTTAGTCAACAATATGGCAATGTCTCCATACTAAAGTTTACAGTGCTCACATTTATATCTCCAAGCAATACTCATCTAATGTCACCAAAAACATTCTTGAATATTTTTGCCCAAAATAAGCTCAACAAGTCAGAACACCACACATCCTTTATTTTATTCCATGGTCCATCTGGAGCCATTTGCTAAGCATTCCATTAAATCTTATCCATATTTTTCTTCCATCATCTACTGCTCATACTGACTTGGTTTTTAACTAAATGAATTCTTGCCAAATCTGAATCTTATTGATCAGTCTTTTCACAATATAAAGAAAACCCAATTCCAATTCAGTTACAGTCTGTTTTGAGTGCTTTTCCTACTTCAGCAATTCTCTGAAAATTAGGTTTTAACTTGGAATGTCAGGATTGAGGTTTTGTAATAAAGTACTTTTCAACCAAATGCCTTTCTTTTTCATCTCCATGTTCTGCTATACTGTATGCTCTCCTGCTTTTATTCAATTCATTACTGAACTCTCAAGGTCATGTCAAATATATTTCACAGTCTTTAAAACACAAAGACTTTTGCTTTGTTAAAATACGATATTCCAACTCTGTTTCCCCAAGTTCATACCAATATATATCTTAATTATATTTTTAAGCTGCCTATAAAAAGAAACTGTGTGTTTAAACTTTTAAAACCTGGCACAATGAGTAATTTAGGAGCTTCAGAAGTTATTAGCACAACAAAAAAGTATTTTAACTGAATATATTGCCATTTAGAAGCTTTAAGGCAATCTAATTTTTTCTTGCACTACATCAAATGCTGAAGAAGTTATTAAAAATAACCTTGTCCACGGCATTAAAGCCATTTTTGCCTAAATAGGAAGGAAAAGGAAAGTGCATGGCGTAGCATAATACAGCATCTGTCTACAGTTGCTTAATTCAGATCATCTCAAAGTGTAAATTTTTCAAGTGCACAGAGGTCAAATGTAAACTTTTGCCCCTAAGTGCTCAATATAGTTCTTGCCGTCTTTAATTCTAAAAGAAAAGTTGAAACGAGAACTAGGACAAGAGGATTCATGTGTGTAGTTGTGTCCAAATCACTTGGATTCCAATAAAACAGCATCTCCATCTACATACAGAAGTTGCAGTCTAGATTTTTTTTAAAAAAAACCCCTCAGCTGTGTACCTTCCTTAGGCTATTAGTAGACGTAATAATAATTTAATATTTCTTCTTACCATAAATAATTGAATTTTAACTACCTATTGTATCAATAGAAAATTGGATTAAACAGTCTAAGATGCTTAAAAGAAATACTGTATTTCCCCCAAAAAACAATATCAAGGTATTTTTAACAAATGCTCCAAGTTTGACAAATTTCAGATATGCTAGATCCAATGAATGACAATTTAGCAAATGACTGTACACCATTCTTTTCCACATTCCACATTCTTGCACCCTTTTGGCTTTGCAGTAATACTGAGAGGTGCAGACTAGTTACCAGCCTTGGCTGAACCTATACCAGAAGCCTCACAGGCTATTCTATGAATAGTAAGATCTCCAATCAAAACTGCTGCCAGAATCTTGCCATCCAGGAGATATGTGCAATATATAGCCAGTGGTAGTACTGTGAGAAGAGAAAAATGCTGTAGAAGTATTTCTTAGCTAATAAAGCCATTGTAGGGGCTCACTGCATTTTAAATCATTTATGTGCCCCAATACGACTAAGGCACTGCCATGCTATTTCTGAATCACTTTTTCAGCTGTTCCTGTTTTGCATATAGCTTTTCATACAGAAACATCCACCTAAGTTTAATACACTTAATTATAATTACATTTTTTAAAGTTTAGCTTGAAATCTAAAACTCATGGCATTGAGGAGTGAACACTTCCAAACAGCCTACATATTATTAATGCATTATGCAAAGGTTGGGCAAAACTGATAGTATCTCTTAGCTTATGAAATACCTGCTACTAGCCCAAAAGGATGACTCATGGTTAAGATTAAACAAGATCATCAACAGGGAATGCACTAATGAGTTCTTACCAGCAAATGTAATGGTAATTCATTAAAAAGCAGCTTTCAACAATAACTGCATTATTTTTAAACTGCTTATACAGGTTGCCTATTCTGTGGCAAACATCTTTTTATAGAGACCTGGCTTTCTCCATCTAATGCATGGAAAGGTAGTATCTGAGAGAAGGTTATACTGGTAAAATGTTTTGGCACCCTTCAGAATGCAATATTGCAACTCTTTAATGTAATTACACATACCCTCGTGTCCGTCTGCAGGGAAGTTTCCTCCACAGTATCCTAATCCTGAAATAAATACAACTGCTTTAATGAGTTGCATTTGTGTTCTGAAGCACCTCTTCTAAACAGGAGGTACAGCCAGAGCACTCAAAGCTTTATCATTTAACTTCATTTCTTTATGCAGAACAGCTATTATTTTTCAATAGCAAATAATGCTGCTTCGTTGTAGTCATGCAGTTCAAACAGGCAGAATGCTGGTGAATATAAATTTAAAACCTAACCCACTTTTTTGTTTTGAAAATTACTGAACGAATTTGAACAAGGCCAGATTTGACCCGTCGTGTACAGAGTTATTAGATTAAGGCTGCTCTCTCTCATTTTTAGTAAGTGTACTAAATGAATAAATAAATGCTGATTTTTTTTTGTGCCCAGTGATAGCAGCTAGTGTCCTTCCTAGAGCATTAATTGCTGCAATGTATCTGACTTAGCCAAATGCTCCAATTGATACAAAATGCAGGGACTTATTTGTGTAAGTTTGAGAGCCATTGGCACCATATAACTCTGGTTTTGTGAGCACTGCATTGACTAGCAATAGATTTCAGAGTGCAATTTGAAATGCTTGTTTTTAAACTGTACACCTTGTTGCTTCCTCATGCACAGAAATGCCTGCTTTTTCTAAAAACCTACTGGTCTGGTTTATTCAGCCAGAATGAAGATGTTGAGAGAGCATCCTTATCAGTGAAATTAGGAAAAAGGGCTAGAAACCTGGTATTTTTTTCTGGATATGCTCTAGTACTTTGGAACATATCTCCAAAGATCCATCTCTCCCTAACACCCTTGCAGAACTTTTAACAATGAGAAAGAAGTTATTATTGGATGCTGGTTGTTGCTAGGGATAGGATATTTTTTTTATGTTTCTATGTTTCATGAGTAATTTCTATAAACTGTCAAGAGACCTTGGAGAGTCAGCAATATAGGAATGATGTAAGTAAATAAATAGGTTTTCAAAAACATAAAACTGTGGTGCTGGAATAAAAAATATACTATCGCCAGAGCTTCCTATGATTGACTGCTCTATTTTCCAATTTTAAAAAGTTTCATGAAGAAAATGTCAAGGGTTTTTCAATTACCAAAAGATATGATATATACCTTGCAATCCCCAAGAACCTTTTAAACAACTCATAACCTTTTAAATGACTCAGGTATCACACTCCATGGTTCTAATGTTATATTAACACAGGAAGCACCAATAATTCTCTAGCTAATTCCCTATAAATACCCTGTAAAACTGGTGAGTTTTTAAAATAATGCATTAGAAATAATAGTTCCAAAACTGGTTTAGGATCTACAGTTGGTACAGCTGCCAAGATTTTTTTTTTTTAAACTGTTCATAGTTTAGCTGTTTCAAGAGCTCCATTGGGTAATGATCCTCTTCTAAACCCAACAAAGTAAATAATTGGTATTTTTTTCCAATTCAAAGTTGTCCAGCAGTATTCTGTATTTTCTCCCTGTTTTTCCCCCCTAAACCATTACAATCTGCACCATCTATGTCTGCAATTCTTCATTACACACACAGTTTTTATGCACAATTTTCCTTCTTTGATCTACCTCTTTCTGCATACTGGACAGGTTTTTTTTTGTCCAGGCCACCCCTATCATTGAAGTAATTACCAGGGAGAAAGTAACCTTCCCCAAGCATCATGGGTACTTTGGGATGTGAATTTTATTGGCAATTGTCCTTACTACCCCAAGGACTTTTATGGGCCAGGGAGAGGGCGCCAAACATTTTCATCTTCCATTTTTAACAATATCATAACCTCTCACTACTTTTTTTCCATACAACAAAAAATCTTTTAAGAAAAAAAAAACCAGATATGCTGCACAATGTCTTTTGATTCATAGCTACAAATCTTCCATCTGAGCATTTGTAGAGCAATAAACAAAAATTCATTAGTGAAGGTGGGAGGCATCAGGAGTGCCTTGAAGCAATGGCTACCATAAAGGCAGCTAATTTTTGCCTTTCCCACTGAAGTGCATATACATGTATATTGATTACATGAGGTGAAAAGAAAGAAAGGTTGTCCATTATGGAAAAAGACTCTGCATATATATGGCAGAAATTATAAGTGTGTGCATCCATGAGTGGAAAAAGACACTGGATTTTTGTCTACAAAGGGAATCTTTGCTCTCATTTATGTAAGAAAAGAGCAGAAGGAAATGATATGTACCGTATATTCCGGCGTATAAGACGACTTTCTAAACACTTAAAATCTTCGCAAAAGTGGGGGGTCGTCTTATACGCCGGAAAAATATTACTCAGCAAGTTTTCTCTTCCCCCCCCCCTCTCTCTCACTCAAAAAGAGTCCTAGGGTTATTATTAAAACCAGCCGATCAACTAAAGATATCTCTGAGAGTACGATAGGCATTATCTGGCTGTTGTGACGGTAAGATTTCCTGGAGGTTTAATCCCCATTCTATAATGCTACATTGCAAACCGTCTCCTCTCTTCTTCCCTCCCTTTTGCATCCCAATTCCTTGCCCACCCCTCCAGAACTGCGGATTGGTAGTGGCCATCCCCTGATTAATTCATTCAAAGGAAGTAGAAAGGGATGGCCCATGTAATGGGGAAGGGGGGAAAAGAATTGTAGGGTGGTTTTTTTATATAATGAAAACAAACCTAAGCATCTGCGTCCATTCGAGGCACTTTTCAGTGCTTCTTCATGCAAGCTTTTCAGCGTTTACCTCTCACTGCCGGTGAGAGTAGCTTGGGGGAGGCGGAGCTTATGGGTCTGGAAGGGGAGGGGTGTCAGCTAAATTCCTCTCGGAGTTAAGAAGCAGGAATGGAGTGGGGACAGAAAACAGCTACACAATCCTTTTGCCCGAGCTTATGCAAGCAGTTTCTCCCCCCCCTGCCTAAATAAACTTGCATGGTGCATTTGTGGTGTTATTTATGACAGATCCTGGCTGGTCAATCTGGCTCCCATCTATAAGTACTGTAGTGCACTGAGTTTTAATAACAAATTAAAAGGAAAGCATTTACTCCCCCCCCCATTACCTGAAAAGGGGGCAACTTATCACATTTATGGAAATGCAAGTTTTCGAAGGGCGAATGCCTTTCTTACTTAGCTTATTAACTGCTTCCTTTCCTTCTTCCCTAAACATTCTGGCTGTCTCCAATTTCATTCTTGGTAGTGTTGCTTTAAAAAACTGCTGAGAAGTCCTTTTGCAGGCAGGGCAATTTTCATCAAGGTGTGTGTGCGATTGACAAGGCAGAGCCTTTGAAAAACAGGCAGGCTTTCTGCTCACTCAGCTTGGAGAGGCTGTGGAGTATTCGCAGGGTGGAAGACTGAGAGGAGGAGATCCCTGTGTGCAGCCTGTTTGCTCCAAGCCAAAGCTTGCTACTGGGGGGAGGGCAATGGAAGGGACCCAGGGAGTCACACGCATGCCTACATGTGCACGCACACACCCTGAGCTACTCATTTGGACTTACAGGTGGCCAATGAGAACTCAGAAACTGTGCTCCCTTTCCCCCTCCCTCATGGAATTAGCTTGTCCATTTTTTCCCTAGGGCCTATACAGGAGTAGGCAACCTTGGCTCTTTTATGACTCATGGACTTCAACTCCCAGAATTCCTGAGCCAGCATAGCTGGCTCAGGAATTCTGGAAGTTGAAGTCCATGAGTCATAAAAGAGCCAAGGTTGCCTACCCCTGGCCTATAAGATGACAGGAAGGGTTGGGCAGGCAGGGAGAGCTGATCCACCCAATCCAAGCAGGCTTTGTATACAACAACCAGCTAAGGTTCATCGCTTGCTGTGATTGGCTGGTTGTTGTATACTGGGTACATACAGTACAGCACCAGTATCTGTACCAGTTCATACAGTACAGCACCAATACATACAGTACAGTATACAATGTCCAATAGTCAAGACCCATCATGGCTACACCAGCAAGAAGAAGAAATATGAAGCCAGTTTCAAACTTAAAGTTGTAAACTTTGCCATGGAACATAATAACTGCGCTGCTGCAAGACAATATGGAGTAACAGAAAAGATGGTTCGGGACTGGAAGCAAATGAAAAAGCATTAAAGAGTATGCCAAGGGGTAAGTGTGCATTAAGAAGAGGCACCCCACATTGGCCAGAACTTGAAAAACATGTAGCAGACATGGTGAATGAGCATCGCCAAAACGGTTATGTAGTGACACGAAATAAAATACGTTTGTTTGCACTTCAGTGGGCCAAATCTAACCCAGATCACAGCAACAGATTTAAGGCCACTGCATCCTGGTGTACTAGATTCTTGGAAAGGCATAATATGGTACTGAGGCAAAAGACGAAAATTGCACAAAAATTACCTGCAGATCTTGATAGCAAAGTAATTAGTTTCCATCAATACATAATACAACAGCGCATTAAACATGGCTATGCATTAAGTAGTATTGGAAATATGGATGAAACTCCAATGAATTTTGATATGGTTGGAAATAAAACTGTCCATCAGAAAGGTGAAAAAACAATTTTAATTAAAACAACAGGACATGAGAAGTCCAGTTTTACAGTGGTACTAGCATGCACAGCTGATGGTGCCAAACTGAGACCAATGATTATTTTTAAAAGAAAAACAATGCCAAAACTCAAGTTCCCTGTTGGTTGTTTTGTACATGTGAATGAAAAAGGCTGGATGGATGAAGAAGGGGTAAAGCTATGGCTTGATAATGTATGGAGCAGGCGACCAGGTGGACTTATTCAAAAACGTAGTCTACTGGTGTGGGATATGTTCAGGGCTCATTTAACTCCCAGCACCAAGCAAAAGCTTGCAAGACTAAACACAGATGTGGCAGTTATTCCTGCAGGATTAACATCGTTAGTACAGCCACTGGATGTATGCCTAAACAAGCCATTTAAAGATCGCATTCGAGAACAGTGGAATGAATGGATGGTTAGTGGCGAAAAGTCATTCACAAAAGGAGGAAACATGCGTGCTCCACAATTGGATGTTTTGTGCAAGTTTGTCATAAAAGCCTGGAATGATATTGATGCAGAAACAATAATCAAGTCTTTCAAGAAGTGTGGCATATCAAATTCATTAGATGGTATGGAGGACGACTACTTGTGGCAAGATGAAGAGGAAGCCGAAGCTGAGACCACACCATCTGATACGGAATTCGATCCATACGATGACTGCCTTGCAAATGTATCACAAGATGTCATTGATATTTTTATGATATCAGATGATGAACAGGATGATTTTAAAGGCTTTTAAAGGGAAAGTATATGCCAGCAAAACCTATAAAAATAGCTTGCAGTTATGATGGGCGTTGCTGACTCGCCAGGGACTTGCCCGGCACTTGCTCTCTCTATTGTTTGTTATCTTCCTCCTATCATCATCAGTTCCAGTTTGGTTGACAGCTTAGAAAACAAATAGCATGGCAGCTCCCATGGGTTTATTGTCTTATCCTTCCTTTCAGCTTTAGAGTGAATTAGGAAAAGTTTAATCACTTGCACTGTTTTATGTTTACATGTTTGATGACAAACAGCCTTATGTTTATAAGTGACAGTTTTCCTGCTAAGTACCTTTATGTAATAAGCATTTGAATTAAAATTACCATATTGAAATCAAATCTGATGTTTTTTAATTTTTATTTGGTGTGCGTTGAAAGAGGGGTAGTCTTATACGGCGAGTATAGCCCAAACTCTATATTTTAACTGGAAAAGTTGGGGGTCGTCTTATACGCCCAGTCGTCTTATACGCCGGAATATACGGTATGTATGCAAGCAAGAGGAGGCTGCATGTATTGGGCGGGTGCCCTCATTGCTCAGTTTTGCATAAACATGACCCCCTGAAGACTTAATTTATGTGTCCTAGGGCTAATCCTACTCAAGACATAGGTTTTAATACGTAAAAAGCTTCAGAATTCTAAACAATTTAAAAGTCTATAAGACTGTATCATTTTTTACTTTTCTACTGTTAATTTGTTACATTGAATGCAAAATATTTATACATACATATACATCTTTTATAAAAACTTTCATATACAAATATTGGATTTGCATGAAGTTCTCAATTTAAATTTACTTTTCTTTTATGTGTGTGTGTGTGTGTGTATGTGTGCGCACGCATTATAAAACAAGCAGAGTAATAAAGTAAGAAACGAAAGGAAAAAAAGTAAATAAAAAGTGGAAAAAACTTGAAGAAACAGAAAAGACAGATTGATATAAAGAGGTGGCTTCCTACAATCTTGACAGCAGTTATAAGTACAAATATATAGGTAGTCCTTGACTTACAACAGTTCATTTAGTGATTGTTCAAAATTATAATAGTGCTAAAAAAAGTGTTTTTCACAATTACAACTGTTGCAGCATCCCCATGTTCATGTGATCAAAATTCAGATGCTGGTTTATATTTATGAGTGTTGCAGTGTCCTGAGGTCCTGTGGTTAGCTTTGGCAAACTTCTGACACGCAAAGCCAATGAGGAAGCCAGATTCACTTAACAACCATGTTACTAACTTAACAATTGCAATGATTAACAACTATGGCAAGAAAGGTCATAAAATGGGGCAAAACTCACTTAACAAATGTCTCACTTTGCAACATAAATTTTGGGCTCAATTGTGATCATAAGTCAAGGACTACCTGTATTTCAACTTCTCTCTCCCAAATTACATTGTATATTTTTTATTTCTATAAAGTAAACTGTCTAATCATCAAAACCCTATATCACAAGTTCATTTTTTTTCATTTTTATGCAAAAAGTCTCCAGTCACCAATAAACATAGATACTGTTTTTACTTTAATCAAAGAATTCATTTATTTCAGAAAAATCTTCACCAACCAGTGCGTAGAGTTGGATCTTTCCATCTCTGTGCCTGTAATAATCTCGCTGCAGTAATCATAGATTGAAATCTTCCATGGCTGTTTTTAAATTGATTATCCATTAATCCTGAAAGGAAATTATTATGGGCGTATAAAACAGCTTAAAAAATTGAATTCAAATACATACTTATACAGAGGATTTGAAGCCGGAACTTTATTTTATAGAATTACTGGATAGATTTAAATGGCTTTTCCTAATTTTTAGACAGGACTTCTATTTGAAAAAAACCAACCATCCACCATCCATGAATGAAACGAACAACAGAAAAATATACGATACACACGAATCTACACAAATATACGTTTTTGAAGAGTCGCCCCCTCTTCAGACATACCAGCAGATATCACTTCTCTGCTCTTTACTATAAGCGCCTTCAATCTCCGTTATCTTTTGCAAACAAAATGCTACAAACCCACAAAACCATCCCGAACGGCCCGAAAAGTAATTCGGGACTCGCAGAGAAAAAGGTTTCCTTTAATGCTCTAGAAGCGCTCTAGATTTTTTTCAGACATTAACAGACGTGTTGGCCAACCAATGGGCCGGCCGAGAAAAGGAAAGGGCGGAGCTTCAGGTAGCAACATCCAATCTCGTGGCAGACACAGCCAAGCAGCGGCCGCTGAAGAGGCGCGTCCTGCGGGAAAGGGCAAGAGAGAGAGGCGAGGAGGTGGAAGTCGGAAGCTCTCGCGAGAGCCGGCCCGTCCACTCGAGACTGGGTGACTGCGCAGCTGCCATGTTGGTTGCTATGCTGCTGCCTGTCTGAGGGCAGGCGGGAGGAAAGGAAGGAGGGAGGCTGGCTCTGGGGAGGGGAGAAAGACGGAGGAGGCGGCAGCACCAGCACCCGCGGTTGCTGCCAGTCCTCGACCCCCCCTCCCCTTCTTTCCTCAGCGCAGACAGGCTTTACCCTGCTGGATAGCTACCGCGCCTCCCCCCCTCCTCACCCTCCGTTCCAGAAGAAGGAAGCGAGAGAAGAGGAAGAAATTCTCCTTGGGGGTGGGTGGGGTAAGACGAGGGTGCTTTCCCCTCAGGGAAGCGACGACTGAACCCTCCTTTGCCCCTTCTCGCTCGATTTCCCCTGCGGCTGGGGAGGCGGGAAGACTCGGTCGCCTTCCGCGGCTCCTCTCTCCAGATCTCCCTCTCTCTCTCTCTCTCTCTCCCTCATCCTCGCCTTTTCTGCTTGCAGTAGGAATGTGGGGGGGCCTTGAGTTGAGAGCGGGGCGCTCGGGGCAACGGCTGCTGGAGACCCCCCTTCCTTTTGGCCTGCTGTCGCGTGGGGACACAAGAACTAAATTGAACTGAGCGGGGAAGGGCTTGAACTCGCCCTTTGGGGGGGTAAATACCCCCCCTTCCTTTTTTTACTTTACCTTTCGGCTTTCGAGTTGGTTTGTGGCTTCATTTATCGTTCTCTGGAAGGACGAGGCTTGTTTTATGAAGGTAAGGAAATCTCTGCTTTTTTTTTTTTTTTAAAGAAACTTGCCAGGTTAACGTGAGAAACCCCCCCCCCCGAACACCACCCCTTCTCCTTACCGCTCCAAATATTATTACGTAGTTCTCTATAGTAAGGTAGGTAGAGCAAGCAAAATTGCCACTTCGCTCTCCCTGTGGATGATTGCTCGGGTCTTGAGTGTGAATTGTGGGCTGACCTCAACATATGCATGCGTGTGTGTGACAACACTTTGAAGGTGCGTGGGGTGATCGATGGTTGGAGTTGCCAGATCGACGTTGTCTCGCGTTGGGTTGAACAATTTTGAATTTCCTGAGGACGGAGAATACAACGTCCCCTGAAAAGAAACCCTGTCCGATTATCCGAATTGCTCCAGAAAACAGTTGAAGAGGCGGTTAGAATTAATGCTGGTGTCTGCTTGCAAAAGACAGCAAAAGATCCCGATGACTCTTTTTTCTTTCCTTCTTATTTTGTGAAGCTGTGCTACACTAATAGCAATAGAGGGACATATTCGGAATATATTCGTTTCGAAAATCCAAAGGATGAGAATGGCTGTCCTGAAGCGTGCAGTGTTGTGTTGCGTCCTATTATATTAGCCGGAGAAGCAGCAGGATTACGTTATTCTTTAAGAGGGAGTGAAGAAACGACAAAATTAGGTTGCCTGAAGGCATGCTGGGGTCCCCAATTGAATTACTTAGTTGCAGAGATAAAGATATTGGAAAATAAGTAGCAAAGGCATGGAAATGATTTATAATATGAAAGAATGTATTTTTCAAGAGTGAAATTAAAATAGATGAAATGTTATGTTTAAAAAATTGAAACAGCCTGCTAGCCTTTACCTTAAAGCATCTTTTCTAAATCTACTCTGAGAGTTAAAAATGAAACTAGAGTTATATTACTTTACCTGTTTAAGAGATGCATATCTATATATTGAATTGCATCTGTAAGGATTTAGTGTGGCAATATCACAATCTCAGAGCAGCCACTTACGCTGCTGCATAGGTAATGTAGCATGATAAAATGTTGATAAATCATAAAGATATTTTTATGAAGACCCTTTGCAGTTTGTTTTACAATTCTTAAGTAAACCTTTAAGAAGAGTAAAATATGATACTCTAAGGAGTACCTTGTGTAAAACTGCCTTTTTACCTTTTCTCATAGGAAAAAAAATGCATTAAGCCAGAAGCTGAGATTCAAAATGCCATTCAGAAAAACAGAAATAGTGACAATGTGCAACTTTAAAGTATGAAAAGAGTTTTTCAATTTTAAGATTAAATTAGACCACTCTACTGATAGATTAACTTATTTATGGTTTATGTTTTAGTGTAGAAAATTGTTCCTTGTTTATCAAAATTCCAGTGCATCTGGATACTTTCTATGCCTAGGTTACATACTTGCTGAATGTACTCCTTCATGCTGTTCTCACTTGCAGAGAAAAAATGATTATAAGTCGGCTATAATTTTAAATTTATATAGTGCTAATATCAAAACAATATAATACTGATGTGAAAATAATAGTTATTTGTAAAAGTAGTATAATTAGAACTTTAGAAACTTAAAATAGTGAAACAGTTTAATTTCACTATCATTTTTATGGTTTTTGAAAATCCAAAATAATACATTGCATGTATTAACTGAAAACCAAATAACAGTAATTATATATGTTTTATCTTCATATTTTAGGTTATAATCTTTGTATTAGCTAAGAAAGCAGTATATTTGTACTTTGAGACATTTTATACTAGGAAATCAATAAATGGTACCCATCAAATGTTTTGGACCACAGTTCTTAAAATCTGGCCATATTTGGATACAGCTGATGGAGATTGTATTCCCCTCAAATAGAAAGCACATGAAGTTACTAACTGCAATTTTGTTCACCAATTTTTATAATAAAAATATTGGTATGTGATATAGGTTTATTAGTATAATAAGCACATTATATAAAGATATGCTTATGTTTGTTTATTTATTTGGTTTTTATCCCACTTTTATTACTTTATAAGTAACTCAAGGTGGTGAACATTTATAATACACCTTCCTTCTCTTATTTTCCCCAACAACAACCCTTTGAGATGTGTTGGAGTGAGAATAAATGACTGGCCCAATGTCACCCAGTTTCATGCCTAAGGCAAAATTAGAACACACAGTCTTAACCACTATATTAAACTGCTGTTTATTAACCCTATCATAATATTTGCTAGGCTCTGCGTAGATCTGGATTCAAAATGTACATTGTGTTTCAATACATGCAATGGGTATGCAAGAAGCAGCTGTTGGGAACACCTTAAAGCAGGGGTCTCCAATCCCCGGTCTATGGACCGGTACCGGTCTGTGGCATGCCAGCAACCAGTCTGCATAAACAAGGAAAGCCCCATCTGTGGGATGCAGGCAGCACACAAAACCACTCACGTTGTGGTCCATGGAAAAACTTTTCTCCACAGAACCAGTCCCTGGTGCCCAAAAGGTTGGGGGCCTCTGCCTTAAAGCAGCTATATCTTTTCCTTGGCTCATGCAATTGCTTTCTTCAGATGCAGACAAACCCAGAAAAAGACATTAGTTTAAAATGCTTCTGAACATGCTATGTGTGAATTAATGGATAACCTGAATTGTATTTTTCTTTTTGAATTCAGATCACTGCGCAACTCTTACACTTGTATTCATTCTTTTTAATTTTATATTTAATAAGATTTTTTTCTCAATACATTTTATGGAATAAATTCAAAGTATACTTTATACATTTTAATGATAAAACATTTAGGATGTTTCATTGGAAGCCACATTATAAGTTGTGTGCTTTGGAGGAAGTCACTTAGTAAAATAATGCTTTTTGAATGATCTTAGTGAGTGGCAACAATTTTGTTGTCCTTGAGTGATCTTGGAAGCTAAGCAAAGTTGACTCTTAATATGTGGATGGGTGCTCTCTGGGAATTTCACAGCTGATGGCAAGATTGAGAATTTTTAAAAAAAATCTTAGCAGAAGGAATGATAGATCACTTCCATAAAGTTGCCAAAACTGCATGGATGCAGTTACAAGAGTGGAGCTTGACCTAATAATGTATTCTACTTGTTTTAACTCTTGATTTCATTTGGCTTAGAGGTTCTATTAGCATGTCAGGCAATTAATATTTGTGAAATATTTGTTGTACAAATGTATTGTCATGTTCTTTTATTGAAGACATGCCATAAATATATTGAAATTAGACGTTTTGATGTTTTGCTAAGAATCAGGGATATATTCAGTTCAATTAAAAATGATCCACATGTGCAAACAAGTTTCTCTGCATCCTGTTATATAGTATGGGTTATCACATCTGCTTAATTAAATGGTTGTGGTGGTCTGTTATCTTGTTACTCTGTTAGTCTGCTTGGTTGTCTCCTGTACTAGAGCTGGAAAATGTAACAGCAAAAACCATTGGATTAGATGAAATGGGAGGTGTCAGTGTAAGCTACCTGTTTATATGGATTAAGCTGAGCGGAAGGCAAAGAGAAGAAAACTACTTCATTTATATCAGTGGTTCTCAACCTTTTTAATGCCGCGACCCCCAACCAGTCGTAGGTTGAGGACTACTCAACCGGTCGTAAGTCGAGGACTACTCAACTGGTGCAGCACCGTTTGCAGAATGGGGCTTTTGGCGGGCTCAGCAGGGCAGAGACAGCCTGGACAATTCTTATTGGCTTTTGAAAGCCAATAAAATTAGACTCTATTCAAGAAACTCTATTCTATTGGCTTTCAAAAGCCAATAGAATAAAAGGGAGTAGCACAGCTAAGGAAAAGGGGAAAAAAATGGCGGACTGCATTGTTTGGCGACCCCCGTGAAATGGTCATTCGACCCCAAATGGGGTCCCGACCCACAGATTAAGAACCACTGATTTTTATGATAACGAGTCAATGAAAAGACATGGAAATGAACTGCTTACTTTTATCTTGTGAATTTAGGCTACTCTCACTACAAGATTAAATGATGACAAGTATTTGTTTAAAGAATGCTATGGATTTAAAGCCAAATTGAAGACTACAGTACTAAAATTATGTGATGCTGCAAAATATTACATGGATTATACCGAATAACAAAAGCCTGTTTTCCCTTTCCTAGTTCTCATTTCTTTTATTTTAGAGATTCAGGCTAAGAACTTTAATTATCACTGTGTGTGTTTGTGTGGTTCAATACATAATTTACTATCTAGAAAAATCTAAATATCACAGTGTCTTTTTATTTGGTATGTTGACCTGAATATATTTCAAAAAGATACTGCAAGGATTAAATATTAGTTTTTCCAGTTGCAAAAACTCTTCAGGGTTTATTTGGATTGCATCTTGTCCCCAATTATTGTAGAGTTCTTAAGCTATTCTGATTGTGATGAGTAGGTGATATGTTGCCTGCATTATATTAAAACTGGACTACAAAAGACCTGTTTCACACAACTAGACCTGCAGATCACTTTCTCAGAAAATGGCATATCATTGTGTCTTCCCATGTTGCTTGTTACTTGCTCATTTAGCTCAAGAGAAAAGAATAAAAGAAAATGAAAAAAATCTTTGTGTACAATATTGCATTACATGGTTGAGTTATATTGGTAACACTATTTTGGATTGGATTGAAATTTGAAGTAAATGAATGTGTTTAATATTTTTGTCATCTAAAGTCTTATTGACATGTAGATTTAAATACTTGAAGCTGCAAACAAAATTGCTTTTCGTAATATGTACATTGGACATTGTTTTAGCATTTAGGTATATAGATTCTGAATACATATGACATAATTTGTTTCTTTTGCTTCCTGAATCAAAAAGAAAAGAGGAAACCTTCTCCTTGCTCAAACATTGAAACAAATAAACATTGGAAAGTACTACTCCAGTTAGATTTGGTATGCATCCTCTGCATAGGAGAAAGCTAGCAGTCTGCTTCTGCTCTAAACATGTAATCAGTTCAAATGTATCTTGTATGTACAAGGAAGCCAGATCTTGCTGCAATTTCCTATTATAGTG